TTCAACACAGAACCACAGTGTCACCTCTTTGAAGACCATTAACCACAGCCATAGTCGGTACTAAATGCAGCCCCGACCACACACAGAACCCAGCTCAGGGCACCAAGAGGGGCTGCTGCCAAGTTCACACGAGCACAGGCAGCGGCGGCCACTCCACAGCTGCAGCCCAACAGATTTTAAGATACATTCTAAGAAGTTGGCACATGAAAACAATGCAAATCTTAGAAGTGATAACATATGGCTAAAAGGAAAACAAAAAAAAATTTAGTATAAACAGTTAAGCCTCGGTTTATCTTATTTTTCTATATATTGGGTCAAAATCAAATTTGGGCCAATCCAAACTTTTCCTATTTTTATCCTGTTCACTGTTGTCTCTGCTGCTGTGTGTTGTAAAGAGGAAATTCAGTGATTAAGAGAGAAGAGCAAGCGGAAGCGGCGGGGGAGGGTGGGCCTCCTCAGCACTCTTCCACTCCAGGACGTGCTCCCCAGACTGCGGAGACCAGAACGGACGCACACATCACACTCCAGGTTTCTGTGCAGCTCAGGGCCAGATGGGATTTAGGTTCCTCCACCCGGATGTACTTGCTGAGATGCCCATGTTGCTGGTGCAGAGCTGGCAGGCTCAGGGCAGCTTTGGAGCCAACAGTCAATCCAGCAATGACATCCTGAGCCCCTGCCCCAGCTCAGGTGAGAGGAGGGAGCAGAGCCCTTGAAGGAGCCTTGTCCAGACCCCAGCCTCGAGCCAGCTCCCCAGATCCTCCCCATGATTCTGTGAGCATCTAACTTCCAGCATCCAACCCAAATGCTCATGGACACACATTCATCTTCCAGTTTTATTTTTATTAGCTAATTTTTGATTCACTTACTCCAAGATTTCCATTTTTACTTTCAAACACATTTGAGACACATAAGCATAGACGTGTAATCATATGCTCTTGGGCCAATCACATCATACTGCAGGTCTCAGACTACTCCCAAACATAAATTAAGGAGGTTTGACTATCTGGTTATCTCCAAAATGCCTTCTACTTCAAAAGCATTCTAATTCTAACTGACCTACTGTTTCAGAGGTGACCCCACAAAGCTATTTCCATGGCCAGACACTGCTCTTCAGTATACACACACAATGTCATCTTAGACACTGATTTCACTGATAGCACATTTCATTCAGCAGGATTAGAAAAGATGAAGGAAAAATCAGTACCTTTTTATTATTACTTTAGTCAAGAAATAATTTAGTGTTTAGTCAACAACTCAAATTGTAAACATATTATTTACATTTCATTTTAAACTAGGAGTTCCATTATTGTAAAGTTAAAAAGTAAATACTTTACATTACTGTAAAGTTAAAAAGTAAAAACCGCCACTAACCATTGCTCTTGTCAGCAACTATTTCAGAGAATTCTTTTTATAGTCAACTAAAAACCCAGTGGCTAAACATTATTTTTTGTCTCAGACAAGTAAGTGAATGTCTTAAAAACCATAGGAAAACTAAAGGAAATATTATTTCTGGATCAAACTTAATGTTAGGACCTTACTATGCAAGTTTGATCTTGATTCTTCTTGAAGGAGGAATTCTTTTCCCTCAAGAACGTAAGAGATCCATTTTATTTCTAAAAGGCCAATAAGGGATTATTTTAATACCACTCTTTTGAAAGGGGGAGAGAGGAAACTGGAGGCAGGGAGAAAAACTCTCTATTCACTCCTTCCCCACCACACACAAAGACTGAGAAAGAATACAAGCTCACTTACCTTATTTATCTACATTTCATTTTGTGAAACATTAGCTGAAATGTAAATTTAGTTGCCACTAGTAGCAATATTTTTCAGGTTAACTGAGTCTAACAAACCATTTTGGCACTAACCATTGTGTTTTGTCCAGCTGAATGGCAAATATATATTAAAAAGTTTCTGCTGTCCGGGGTTGGCAAAGGCACGAGACAAGTCTGACATCAGAAATGAGCACCATCCTCCTGGCAGGCCACTACCAAAGACTCTTGTCCCAAGCAAATCACTTTCGTGTGTCACTACTTACTCCACACAATGGAGCAAGTTATGATTTTGGTGAATATTATTAAAGTACTGCCTGGGGTGATCATTGCTGACACTTTAAGTAAGACTAACTGTCCCTTACATACTGTGTAGGGTGAGGAACACCAAAGATTGTTTACAGGAGCATCTCATGGGATCTGTCCGTGTTTTTGCCTCAGGTTTATGGTTGGCAGGACATTTCTAACTGGCTGTATTAGAAGACTAGCTAGTTGATTTCTGCTCGTGAAGTTGCTTGACCAATAAACAGCTTTAAAGATATTTCTTTATGAAATAAAGGCAAAAAACACCAAGACCCCAAAAGAAACACGGGCAAAAAACAATTTTTGCCCAAAGAAGAAACACAATAGCTCCCTCTCATCCACATTGCTCTCTCTGCAGTTTCAGTGATCCACAAAGTCTAAATACTTTAAATGGAAAATTCCAGAAATAAACAATTCAGAAGTTTTAAATTGTGCACCATTCTGAGCAGTGTGATGAAATCTCACACCTTCCCACTCCATCTTACCTAGGAAGTGAATCGTCCCTTTGTCCAGCAAAACTCGCTGTGTATGTCACCTGTCCTTAGTCACTTAGCAGCTATCTCAGATCAGTTCAAGAAGAAAGGTGAGGAAAGACATTTTTAGAAAGAGGCCATTTTTATGTAACTTTTATTATAGTATAACCTGTTTTATTGTTGTTAATCTTTCTGTGCCTAATACATAAATTAAACTTTATCATAGATAGGTATGTACAGGAAAAAACATAGTACATGTAGGGTTCGGTACTATCTACACTTTCAGGCATCCACCAGGGATCCTGGAACATCTCCCTCATGGATAAGGGGGGGATACTACATAAACAGCAAAAAAAAGAAAGGAAAAAAAGAAAAAAGGAAAAAGTGTTTATTCTCATCAGTAATTTTAAAAGCATAGAACAAATTAAAAGGAACTTCCGTTTTCACCTATAAATTGACAATGTATTTGATATTCAATGTTAGCAAACAAAACACGGCAATACAGATATTTTCAACACTGAGAGCTGTTTATTGGGATGTGAACTAAATTTCTGAAAAGTGGTCTGATAATACGTACCAACAAAGTTAAATATGAATACTCAGTATTAACAAATAAAAAGTCAAACTAAAATTCATACCTGTTAACCCAGCAACTCTACTTCACATTTATCTACTCTCAAGAAATATTCAGAGAGGCATATAAAGATAGATTTACAAAAACATGCATGGCATTTTATATTAGTGGAAAATTAGGGAAAAAAGTACATGTGCAGCCAGAGAGAAATGATGAAACTACACGTACGCATGAGGCAATATTATGACATTACTAAAAACGTTTTGGAAAAAGTTTTAAGGAAGAAGGGGCAGAGCCAGTGAAAGACACTGGAGTTAGACTCTGCATGACAGGATCTAGCTATGAAAAGTAATTAATTTTATAAATATGCACTTTATAGTATATATATTTCCCATACACAAAAAGCTGACCATTCTGTAAATGTTAATTTTCCTTTTAATTGTGTCATGTTAATAATAATATAAAATGGATTCCCAGTGTAAAAAAAAATTGACCAAAAAATTTGTTAGTTTTTACCTCCAAGTAGAAAACAAAACTCAGTGTTGATTATTCAATAAGACATGAGAAGAGCAAATTCGTACATGCTACGCTGATACTCTAAACACATATCCCAACCAGCCAACACTGCACCCTGTTACAGAGCTCGGGCTTCCCAGAGTGGAAGATCACACAGACTCATTTTGAAGAGAGAAGTGTGGCAATGAGAGTGCACCTGCATGGCCCTGAGCTGTCTAGATCCACAGCAGAAAGACGCTGGCGCGTGAGGGGTCAGCTAGGAACCCACCTAGGCGCTGGTACGAAAAAGAACGCAGAGGGCAGGAAAACTGCAGGCAGAGTGGAAAGCTCTCAAGTGCACACCCAGTCAGTCAGCAGGGGAGCGCTCCCGTGACGTGCAGTGAGAAAGGCGGCAGGAGAGAATGGGAAGAGGGCAGCAGGTACGGAGCCTCGTACTCCATGTGCAGCCCTCCCCACGGGGCTTCTCCTCCCTCCTCTCCAGAGGCAGCCTACAGTCACCAGGAGGTGGACACTGCCACAGCCATCACTTCACTGAGAAGAAAGCATCCCCTTTGGCTTCTTCTGAGCTATTTCAGAGGACTCCTCTCTACAGCAAACATCATCAGCTCAGACAGGTATCTACCAGCCTTCTATGCACGTCATTACGTTAGAATTCTGGTGGCTGCAGCCTTCGACCTTTTCTAAGGTCGAAGCCTTCTTTACTAAGAAGTAGAAATCATGAACTCCTTTCCTCAAACAACTACTCCTTTTTTATTTTTAATACTTTTCGCCAATCAAAGGATTAAGGACATATACAGTTTAGTTCTTCTTTAGAGACATATTGATAGAAACTCTTTCTCAAAGGTTTTGACCAAATCAAGTTCAATATAGAATTTCAAAATTATTCATAATTGAAGTCATTCAGTATTTATAACATTAAAATAATCTTGACTATCTTACACCTGAGCATTTTTACTATAGTTTAAATTATAAAATAATATAGAATATTTCCATGAACATACCAAAATATTAAAGAAATTCTCAAATTTAATTAAAACACTAGGTGAATTTGTAAATGAGCCAATGATTTATTAAGTGGTTTTCTTTCCTTAAAAATTGGCAATTCAAAAGAACTAAACTATACATATGAAAACGAGTGAATAAAAAACATGATGTTAAAAAAACTTCACGATCTAAAAAAAAATCCAGTTTGACTCAATCCTTCCTACTAATCTGTACTGAAGCAGGAAGAGCAGGCCAGGCTCATGGGTCTGTCCCAGCAACCACATCCAAAAGCAAAACGGCGGATCACGCTCAATTCGGGAGCTGCTGCCGAGCTGCTAGAAACCACGCTGGCAGCGTGAGCTCCCCGCGCTGGCAGGTTACCTGGCACACTCCTCAGGAGCTTCGCGTTGCACATGTGCCCCTTCCGTATGTCGGTGAGGATGTACTCCATCCGCTTCGCCCTCCAGAGAAAGTTGAACACCCTCAGGTAGTGGCTCATGCACTCTCGAGTGAACACCTGAAGGAACAGAAGACAGGCTCATAGTATTCCATGCATGGGAATCCACCACCCTCTACAAGGCTCAATCTTTATTTTAAAAAAAAAAAAAAGGGGGTGTATTTTAGCCAACTATCATAATGTAACAACTACACTGATCACTTGCATGCCAAGCAAACCCACAGTGATAGAAGGGAGGTGTTTTATACCAGTTGTGCAGATGAAGACAGAGCCTAGGGTTACACAGTTAGTAAACGGCTTACCAGGATTTTAAGCCTAAGTCTAAACCTAGTCTAAAATACAGACTATTGACTGCCCCTCCACAGCCCACCTGAGGGACATGTGAGAGAGGGGCCACTTCCCTCTGAAACAACAGCTCCTAAGGCTGGCAAGCTCGTGGAAGAGTCCTTCAAGCTATCTTCATATATTTACTTAGGGCTTGCCCAACTTCAGTGCACACACACATGGTTTCACAAGCAGAGGGAGGACAAGCCAACGTGGTGGGGAGTGTGCAAGGCCTTCCTTCCATGCCACCCCCTACAGCGGCCAGGGTCAGAAAATAAAAATATAGGATGCCCAGTTAAACCATTAGTAATTTTTTAGGATAAGTATATCCCGTGCACACAGGGTTTTTTGTTAACTACAGACAACACATTTCTGACACAAACCTGTGCAGCACAGACACTGGGCACGTGTTCACCTTTTACTACTCAACTGGGGCAGAGAATTCCCTGCACTGTCAGATGGGACTGGAAACCCACCACGAGGGCAGAGCCATGTCCTTAGCAGTAGGACAAGGCCAGGCACCAACGGGCACCTACTCTACCTGCACACAGCCTTTCTCTCACTCCCTGGACACAGCCTTGCTCACTCAAGTTTTCGGACCAAGTCCATGCCAAATGTTCCTCTCATGTGGCACCCTATTCAATCTTGTCCATCTCTCAAGGACAAAGTCTCACCAATTTCTCTCTTCTTCAGGCACTTATAACATTTATTGCTTCATTCTTGCAATTTTAGCAATTGCTTATATTGATATACTACTTTATCTTGTTTTATTTCTTGTATTCTTGCATTTCTCGCTTGTTAGCAAGAACTATTAGGTTATTAAGTATGAAATGTCCGATTTCCTTAAGTACTAAGTTTGACAGTTGATATCTTTGACATTTCACTTTGATACTTCTAGTTTTATTTTTATTGTGAAGGCACATCCTCAGTTTTTCATACGCACAGTTTGGCTTGTGGTTATTTTTCAAATTTTATTTTAGAACAATTTTTGTAAAATGGATAAGTCAAAAATTCATGTATATTAGAATAGGAGTTCCCCTGTGAAACCAATGCAGCACAGACAGCTTGCAATACCAATGAAGTGTTTGGGAAGGATGTGGCTAATGAACACACGGTACACTGATGGTTTGAGAAGTTCTGTTCTGGTGATTTTATTCTTGAACATGAGCCACGTGGATGACCTGAGACCAAGGTGGATAATGATCAACTAAAAGCTGTAGTGGAAGTGAATCCATCTTAACCGATGCATGAATTAGCAGCAAGGTTTGACGTTACTATTCCAACAATATTGGACCATTTGAAACAAATGGTCAAGGTAAAGAAGCTGGATAGATGGGTTCCACATGCATTAAAAAAGCATCAGAAGAGAAATCATCTCAATGCTTGCCTTTCTTTGCTGTTACAACATAAAGGCTAACTATTTCTACGCTGTATTGGTATGTGTGATGAAAAATGGATTCTTTTTGACAATCCCAAGGCTTTTGGCACAATGGTTGGATAAAGATGAAGTGCCAAAACACGGTCCAAAACCGAATATTCATCAAAAACAGCTAATGGTGTCTGTTTGGTGGTCCAGCGCTGGTATCATCCACTACAGCTTCATGAAACCTGGTCAACTGATTACAGCAGATGTCTGCTGAAACTAATTGGATGAAGTGATAAGGACACTTGTAATTAAGCAGCCGAGATTGGCCAACAGAGACAGGCCAATCCTCTTTTAAGACAACACTCAACTACATGTCACATAAACGACAACGCTGCTCAAACTAGAGGCTAGACTTGGAAACTCTTTGTCATCCATAGTATTCACCAGACCTTGCACCAACTGACTACTGTTTCTTCCAGGCTTTGGACCACTTCTTGCAAGGAAAAATATTTAATTCTCAACAAGCTGTGGAAAACGCCTTTCACAATTTCATCGCCACTCGCTCTCCAGGCTTCTTCACTGCTGGCATAAACAAGCTACTGTTAAGATGGCAAAACTGTATCAACAGTTCAGGAACGTACTTTGATTAACTGTTTTGCTTCTTGTTTGAGATATAATAAACTCAACTTTTGATTCAAAATTGGACATTTCATTTTTAATGACTTAATATTTATTACTCTGTATGTCTTTTTGTGCCAGTATCTGGAGGTGCTCAATACTGACTGATAATTAAACATCTAAACAGGAGTGATTAGAAATTGCTTTGAAGGTACTCCAAAATCAAATACGCATGTTTTGGAGGTTATCCATTTTGCTGTACTGCCCACACTATTAACATTCTTACAATTATAGAAATTAAGAATGACTAACTAATTTTATGAATAAATTAAAGGATTCTTCAATAATCAAACGATATGTTATAGGGGTCCTTTAAGTATCATGCTCTCATAGCACATTTAAAATAATTTGATTTTTCAAAATTTAGTTTAATCACAATTCTTTAAGAATATTAACTCTTTAAGAGAAAGACAGTCATGTTCTACTAATTTATAGAGGAAAACATCATCCACATTTTCATTTTGCTACTTATGCAGTCTTTCAGTTCATCACTTACTATAAAGTTCAGAGAAATTAAATTAAACAAATAGGCTTCTGACACGTTATCTAAAACTGATCACTGAGAATCAATAACAGAAGTAAAAAGATTTTTATCCCGCCTACTGTCAAAATGAAAATATTAAAGATAATATTTCCATATTCTTCTTCACATAATATTAGGCTATCTTATCACATATTACAATTTCATGACCTTAAAACAAAAAATAAGAGCATATTTAATTATAGCCAACATTAAATGACCTAACCATACTAAAATTTTGGATAAAATTACTGATTTTATCCAAATAGTTGAAGATTCATCAAAAACAAGATAAACCAAAAATATTTTAAATGTTTATGAACCATATTTAGCTAATATATTTTTATTTGAGTAATCTAAGTTTTAAATTTCCCAGATTAATTTTCCAAATTGGCCTGTACAAAAATTTCACTGACAGTGTATATCACAGAATTAGCATGAAGCTAAAATTATGCAGTTATAAGATATAATTATATAATTATTATAAGATATCTACCCATTATAATTAAATTCTGTACAAAAATGACAACCTCAATTAATGAGAACAGAAAAGAAATAGCAGTAATAAATTAAATTTAACAGAAAAAGTAGAAAACAACACATTTTCCTCCAAACTCTGACTCTTGAATTGCTTTTTAAAAATATAATAATCCTCTTACCTTTCTAGTAACTTTTACATATAAGTACACACAAATTAATCTGATAATTATTCCCATTACTAACATTAGTTTAAATACTTTTAATTGTGAAATATGACTACAGGTATGGCAATTGAGCCAAAAATATACCAACCACAGGACATAAGCTAACCCCAGAACTGGAATGGCAAATGCCAGATGCACACGAGCTTGTTCCCCCCGCTACGGACCAGGCAGACCCTGCTACTCCATGGAAGGACCTGCTCCTCTTGCTCAAGCTGAGCACCCCAGGCTGCAGCCACTAGTCCACTTGAGTTGGCACACAAACCAACATTTGTTTGCTATGGATAGGGACGTATCACAGGTTTGCTTTTTAAAATAAATCTGATAAAAACTTCTTTCCTTCAGTCCTTCTACTAAAGCAGAGCTTTTAAAAATCTAAAACATTAACAATAATTGCAAGATCAGTTGTTTATGTATGTAGTATGCAATGTACAATGTTGGCACTCTTAATAAGATGTGCACTATTGTGAAATAAGTAACATATATTAAGACTGTTCAGTTTACCTATTTGTCAAAGCACTCATACTTTGTGAAATAATTGATGCAATTACATTTACTATGGTATCTTTTATGCTACGAAAATAATATGGAATGTATACACATTAACAAGGCAGGTAATATGAAATTTTAAATAATTTGTTAAAGTACCACACTGTTGTGTGCATTATAACTGTTTTAAACTGTTTAGGATATGAGCCAAGGAAAAAAAGCTCCTTTGACTATGACAAAAAATTAAATTTAAGAGCAGTCATGCATTTAAAATATAGTAGCTTTGATCTAATAAAGGTTAAACGTTGGGAATTTATGTGTAAAAAGAAACTGCACCAGCAGCTTCCATTTTGGAGTAGACAGGAGAGGCGCATCTGTCAGTGGCAAATCTGTTAAACCTACAGGGTGAGACGGTGAGTGTGGCTTTGATGGAAATATTCTGGCAGGGGATGTGCTGTGCACCTTGAGAGGAGGGGACAGCCCTGCAGCTGGACTCTGCAAGAACCACCAAGGAGAAACTTTAGAGCCACATTGGATCACTTCTTAACAAAACATTCTTCCCAGTACTTAAATGCAATGTCCTTTTTCATTACTTCAGATATAAAAATGACGGAAATAAGTTCAAAGAGCTATCTTGGAAAATGAGAATTTATTCAAGTCTGAATAAAGAAAAAATGAACCCTAAAAAAGAGGCATTTAATCGTAGACACATAAAAAGACAGCTCCCCTGGTCAGTCTTTTAGAATTTGGTAATGATAGAAGAAAGAGTTTTCTTTACATAGATAACAGTACTATGAACAACAGCATGGCTATATCCTCGTCAGTTTAAATGAGTACTAAATATCAAATTCTACTTAGTAGTAAAAATACGATTCCCCTAAAATACACTTCATCCTAAATTAGTTGCTATAATCTAAGGATAATGGAATAAAATGAACAATCCATTCATTAAGTACTTGCTGAAACTTATTATAGAACAAATAATGTTTTTAAGAATTCTTAAAATAATAGAGCATTTCAGTACTCATTAATAATTATTTAAAGCACACACACACAATTTTGGCTTAAATATTCATTCAATGAGTGTATCTTGGATGTCAAAGTAATCACTTTATTCTAAGTCCTTAGAGAAGTTAACCAATTTTAAACAAAATGTTCAGTAATATAAATAGCTGAAATGTTATAAAATTACATAGAATGATCTTACAGTTGCAATTGGTCCATCGACATGATAATCCAGGCTGAAGACATCCCACCCAGTGTCGCCAGGAGAGACCTAACAGCAAAAACAAACAAATAATTGCAAGACTTTAAGCTTATTGCTGAACTTGTCAATTCCTCAAAGAAAAGGCAGTGAAAATAATATTTTGCTCAATTTTTAAAAACTACTTAATAGTTTTGAGTGTTTGGCTAGATGAGGGCAGGGAACTGCATTTTTTTGTTAACTTCTGTACTGTCAACGATTAGACAATGATGGGCACAGGGCAAGTGCTCTGTAAATATTTGGAAATGAATGGTGTATTTCTGAATGACTACTGTAAATATGTTTATAATTCATCACCATTTGTTCATGACAAACAAAAACCCACTGCCTCATAATATGTTCCAAACTCTTAAGTCGTTCCAAATCAACTCTCACTAAAAATCCTTACATTCCAATATTGTAAGAAAACCAATAGGTTCTGCTACTGATCCTTCATTATAACTAAGCAATGTGCTCACGTTTTAACACACATGCTCCTAAGAAAAGTCACCTCCTACCAAGATGAAACTGAAAACACCAATTTTCTTATGAATAAACATTATTACAAATCATGTCTTGTGCCTCCTATCAAATTTACTATGTGAAGCACGTGCTAAGCATCTGTGATGGGCTACCACGCACTGGTCAAGGTCTTCTGAGTTTTATCCCACCGAACCCAGCAGCCCCACACCGTGCCTCTTCGTGAGGTGAGCAAAAGGAAACCCAGACCACCCAGGAACAAGGGCAGAGCGGGGTTCACACTGAGGCTGTCCATTGTCCAGAACACCCCGGGCTCAGTGGGTCCTCCATGCGGGGCAGGGCAGTTCCCAACACTCGGAGTGGCGCTACCTCCAGCAGCCTCACATCCAGCCTCCTCAGAATCTCGGGACTGTCAAACTGCGCGTTGGTGGCTCTGACGGCGGTCTCGAGAATTCCAGTCAAGTTATGCTGATACAAAGTCGTAGCTGGACGAACAAGTTCTGGTCTTAACAAATTTTTTAAAAATTAAAATGTTATTTCAATTCTTACTGAATGTTTAAAAAACTTATCAATTATAAAAAGTTAGAGTTCAAATTGTAAAAACTGAAAAGGCAAATGGGACCAATACAATAATGTGGTAAAATGTGATGACAAATGATGCACAGCGTTAACTGCAAATAGGGTTTACCAATTATTTTGGAGAGTAAAACATTTCTTTAAGACCTCAAAATTATTGATTTTGGCTGGGCACAGTAACTCACGCCTGCGATCCCAGCACTTTGAGAGGCCCAGGCAGGAGGATCGCTTGAAACCAGAAGTTCGAGACCAGCCTGGGCAAAATGGTGAGGCCCCATTCTCTATGAAAAATTTTTTAAAAATTAGCCGGGCATGGTGGCACCACCTATAGTCCCAGCTACTTGGGAGGCTGAGGTAGGCAGGTTGCTTGAGCCCAGGAGTTCGCGGCTGCAGTGAGCTATGATCGTACCACTCACTGCACTGCAGCCTGGGGCACAGAGTGAGACCCTATCTCTAAATAAAAAATATGTTATATTCATTCTGCTTAAATTGAATGTACTTTGTTGTGCTATACATGTTAACAAATAAAATTTTCAAACTTCAGACTGGCCTATGAGTTGCATGAATTATTATAATTTCCTACATAGACTCAATGAGAAGAGCAGTCTCCACTCAAAACAATTAAATATATGGATGGCAGGATCCTAAAGGGCTAAGAACCACTGCATTATCAGCAAACATTTCTTGGGGGGTTACTGCTATTTGCTTTTGTCAATATGAAGCTAACATTTCTCTGATTGAGAGCTGACCAAGTGAAGAACAGCCAACCATCTTCAGGGGTAGATATAAACCATGAAATGCTAGGCAGAAGATGAAGTCAAAAAGAAAAAGGTAACACCAACTGAGTTCCAATCAACCTGGGGCCAGCTGCAGACACACTGATGGCACATCCCTTTTAAAAACTAGAAACTTAGAACACAAGAACTAATTTTTTCACTTAATAGCAATAAAGAGACTTTAAATATTAAAGCCTGGCATAGGGCAAAAACAGTGTGACCTGTGATGCTGGCCTGGTCCCCTCCAACTGCACTGGCTTCCACACCCCACACCCACTCACACTCATGGGCTAGGACATTCAGAGAAAGTCTCCCCTTTAAAGCGTCTCACCACTCATACTTCAAACAGGTAGTGAGCTCACATCCAGGACTTCATCACCAGAGGACCCTTCCTTGCTTACAGAGCAGATGCATCAAACCAGGAGCACATGGCAGGTCAGCTGTTGCTAGGTGTCCCTCAAAAACTAAATTATTTTTCATACTGAAGACTGACTTCAGTTAGAAGACAGGACTATAAAAGCTTGTGTGTCTAAAACAGTGGTTCTCAAAGCAGAGACCCCATGAGCAGCATGGCCATCATTTGGGAACTGGCTAGAAATGTCCATTCCTGAGGTCCCCCAGGTCTGCTGGATCAGACTGTGGGGTAGGTCCAGCGATCCACTGCAGTTCTCTGAGTAGTCTGATGCACACTGCAGTTTGAGGACCAAAGGCCTAAAACAACTGCTTGATTTGCACAGGTAGGATTTAAAGGTAAATTCTATTTTGTGTCTTAAAGGCACATTTAACTTATTTTAAGTGTCCCTCCAGAGAACACCAAAAAATAATCACTTTCCATTCTTATAAATGCCCGAGTGACAATACTAGGCCCATGCCATGGCTGACTGGTGGGCTCATTCGCCAGCGCTGCCTGGGAGCTCTGGAGTGCACCCTGGGGTCTGGACCGTCTTTAGAGCCAGGGGCCAACAGGCTCTGGACCAGAGCCGTCTGTTTCTGTGAATGGAGGGGAAGGACATATGTTTAATTCTGGAAGGGAAGATGCTATGAGAAATGTCAGAACACAAAATGAAAAAGGTAGCAGTTTTGTTTTGTTTTTACATCAAACAACATTAACTAAAAAATATGGAGCTAAAAGTCTGAGTAAAATATACATTTTATTTTCAGATTAATTTCAAACTGAAGCTAAAGTTAATTGTGATTACACCATGAACTCCTTGTACTTAAAGGCTGTTAAGTGCCATAGTTTCAGTAAGAAACACAAGTTTCTCTTATGCATAAATCACAGTACAGGACTAAGATGCTCTGCTGATAACCAGAGCAAAAATAAAGGGACTTTAACTTTTGAAAATTTTATAATCTTATCTTTTCAGATTTTATTTTCGAATTCAAGTCATTTTCCTCTAATGTCAGTTACTCTTTCAAACAAAACTGTTAAGACTCTTTACCATGTTATATATACTATATATTTATAAAAATCAAAATATATAGTTATAGTTTCTTACTTTAGCAAATCCATTAAGTGCCTTATAAAGTCTCCTTGACCAAGAAGCAAGTACCGCCTCATTGCCTGCATGTGGTCCAGCAAGCTGTATTTTTTATTGAGAACATCCAATAGATATTTGCTCGTCTCAAAATAAGCAGCATCAATTTTCCCCTGAAACGCATTTTCTAAGTCTGTGAATAAGTCTGCAGCTGTAAAGAACAAGAGGGAAAAGCACACATATGTGCATAACTTGCATTTTCACAAAGGAACACTGAAGACACACATGCAGTCAGTGCCAGCCCGTCTGTGGCATCAGTGACAGATGAACCAGTGACAGGCAGCTGCATGGCCACAAAAGCACACCCAAGACCACGAAGCTGAAGATGGGGTTCACAGCAGATGTCTACAATCGCATCCGCAAGAGGGACTGGAACAGCTTTGCTCATGATCTCAAGGATCAATTTCTACACTGTCACTAAAACCCGAAATCTCACTAGAACACTTCGGTAACAGGGCATGTCAGTGTGGAGTCACCTGTACACACCCACAAGATGTTTTCACACATTGAAAGACCAACAGCACATGTGGATGAGCTTCAGGAGCTGTACAACTCGGTAAGAGTTGGGTATTGTTATCGTGCATTCCCTAGCACTCACTCTAAGGGATCGCCAGAGGTTGTCTAGGGGACAACACCAGACTGTCACCAATAAAGAAGGCTAACTATAAGCAGTAACACAAAAAAAGTGTTTCTGTCACTTTCTACTGAACAGAAATAGCATGAGGAGACTACACAAATAGAGCTTTTTATGGTGCTAATTTACATCTATGTAGCACAAACCTGCTTATTAAATATATCTGAATATTCAATTTCATTAAAAACCACAATAACACTCAAGCTAGACACAATCTGCATGTTGAAGAATAATCTAAAAGTGAAAAAGATAACATCCTCGTTAAGGTCAAGGAAGAACAAGAGAGACGGTGCCTTCTGACACCAAGTTTACGTCTCCTTCCACTACCCAAGTTAACCAGTTTGAAAATATCAGACTTTAAAATTCTTTTGTTTGTCTTTCAGAATAAGAGATCACTGAAGCCTATTTTAGCACTGCTGTTATTCCAATTCCACATCTGTATGGGAACACTCAGATGTCCCCAGTGAGGACGCAGTTTCCTGAGGAAGCGTGAGGCCTGCCGAGGCAGCACAGCACGGTGCCCCGGATGAGCTCGCCAGGATCATATTTTAAGGCTGACGGTTATATTTCTGTTGATACGGGTATTTTTTAAAATGTAAGTATTTTTCCCCAGAAATGCTTTTACCACACCCTTGTTTGAGTCATTAAAGCTTTCCATTCCAAAGAAAAGGTTTAAATAAATACTAACCAATTTTAGCCCAAAGCAGTATATTAAGACATAAAATCCAGAGCTTCCTCACAGAGCTCTTTGATTCTTAATGGTTTAGGCATATCTTGTGCTATGGTTTTTTAGTTTTTCTTTCTTCTTTATTCCAACTTTTAAATCCTCCTAATTTTTTCACAAATAAATATAAATTTGACACTCTCCATTTTTTTTTTGTATTATTCTTAGTCTTTTAGGATTTGTATCTTTTATTTTCCAAACTACACTATAAACTCAGCAGCAGAAAGCATGTTCTCCACAGACCCTGGCAGCCATGGACAGGACGAAGGGGACGGCAGGAGCCATCGTTACTGGGGAGCAGTGGCAGCAGCATGCAGTCATCCCCCGTGGACACCGAAATCCAGGGGTGCTCAAGTCCCTCATGGAAAGTGGTCTAGTGTTTGCACATTCCCTACTCACACTCTCCCACATAAGTAATCTCTAGATTACCCATAATACTTACTACAATGTAAATGCTACGTAAATAGTTGCTACATCGTATTTTTCATTTGTATTATTTTTATTATTATATTGTTATACCTTTACATGTATATTTTTTATCTGCAGTTGGTTTAATCTGCAGATATGGAACTGGTGGAATACAGAGGGGTGACTGCAGTAACAGCAGCAGCAGGAGTGTAACAGGACAGCAGCAGCAGTTGGCAGTAGTATTAGCAGTAGTATAATATTAGCATTCCAGCAGCAGCAATAGCTGGCAGTAGCATTAGCAGTAGTATAACAGCATAGCAGCAGATTCAGTAAGCAGTAGTACTAGCAGCAGTATAATAGCGCAGCAGCAGCAGACAATAGCATTAGCAGTAGTATAATAGCATAGCAGCAACTGCAGTTGCCCATTGTATTAATACCAGCAGTAGTATAACAGCATAGCAGCAGATGCAGTTGGCAGCAGTATCAGCAGTAGTATAACAGCACGGCAGCAGCAGCAGCAGTATCAGCGGCAGTATAATAGCATGGCAGCAGCAGCAGCAGTATCAGCAGTAGTATAAAACATGGCAGCAGCAGCAGCAGTTGGCAGTAGTATTAGCAGTAGTATAATAGCACAATAGCAGTAGATACAGTTGGCGACAGTATCAGCAGTAGTGTAATAGCATGGCAGCAGCAACT